TTTAGTTGCAATTGCTTTAACTGTTTATCAGTGCAATCAGGGATTTATTTTTTCTTAAAATAACAAATTTTTGTTTTGTTTTTTAATGTTTTTACAATGTAGTAATGATAACACTTGAAATTATTTGCAATTTTTCTTGTTGAAGTTCCAGACCAGTTGTTCAAAAGACCTTTCAGGCGATTGATGTTCCTAGCAGTCATAATTTTTGGTTTTCTGCCTGATCCATGCTTACGAGACTTTGGTTAGTTATTTATCCACTTTGCCATATAACGTTTGATCGTTCTTTCGGGGTGATTAGAGGCAACAAAATACTCTACAATGCTCTTCGTTGTAGCGTTAGGATGCAAATTACAATAGTTATACACTTGTTCAATTAATGTAGTCGGCTTCATTTTTGGATAACTTTTTTATTAATTAATCTAAGTAAACAAAACTTTCAGTAAAAATAACTAACACTTTATAAATAATTAAAAAAAATAAGAACGGATAACTGAAAATTCAATAAGTTTTAGCTTCTCAAAGGTTGTTTAAAATTTTTGTCATCAGGGGTTAACATTATTGTCAAACCGTTTAAAATGCATCGAGAAACAGTAACAATCAAAAAACCATATCTAAATATCAAAAAACAATTGCCAGAGTTCTTACATCAACCTACAGCATTCATGCGACAGTCAAATTATAAATCATATTGGAAGAAAAAGAATTAATTTTAACAAATACAAACACTTCGTAAGTATAACTGTCAAAGCTTTCAATCAAGCTCTCTAAGTTGTTACAGTGATATTATTTTAATGTTGGAGTTTGAATCACTGGCTGCTAAAAATTGAAAGTTTTTTTTTAGGTAACGTTGCATTACTAACGCACAAAATTTTATTTTATGCAGGGGTGTGGAGTCGTAAAAAGTAGCGACTCCGACTCCAATTGTTAAAATTTTTTGAGTACAACTCCGACTCCGAGTCCAACTCCGACTCCAACTCCAAAGCAAAATTTTTGAAAAATTCTTCTTTGAATTCTTTAAAAAATATTGCGCGATAAGTTGAAATATTTTTTTTTGACAAATTTATGCAACGTTCTTTGAAGTTTAGTATGAACATAAGGTTAATTGAATGTTTTGTACATACACGGGCAACACCAAGAAATATTACTATCGGAGTCGGAGTCGTGATATTTTTTAGCGACTCTGACTCCGACTCCGCTAAAATTATCGCAACTCCGACTCCGACTCCAAAGCCTTGATTTTATGCGGCAGAAAAAAATGCATACCTTTGACCGTATGGAGAAAACGCTTTTATTATTAAAAACAAAGTGCCGTCTTTTTATATAATACATGAGGATGAAAACATTCTTGCTTAAGGCACAATAAAAAAAAGTAATCAAATTTTTTATTGGTGTTCATCAACTGTTCATCTTATCGTAACAATAATGAATCATACAAAATATACTTCTCTCAATTACATGCAATTGCTTCATTCATGAACAATTATAAAAATAAAGCAGAATGTATTATTTTTGGAGACTTTCAGTCATTTCATATATTATATGATTCAGAACTTCGTAAAAGCAAAAAAAGCAACAATCTTTCAAACGAGCTCGTTTTTGCTGATATAATCAACGGTGCTGGTCCTACCTAGACCTATGAACATAAAACTCCTTCTTATTCCTCATACATTGATCAAATTGCATCTTTAAAAGAAACAGAACTGTTTTACAAATTATCAAGTTATTCACCTTTCAATGTTTAACCTTAGTGATCACCGTCCGGTATCCACGAGTATCAACATTGAAGGTAACAGTTTATCTAACGAAATAAGTAATATAATGCAAAAGTATAATTCTATTCTATTTCATCTATTATATCTAATTATATCTATTTCAAAACACGCATGAAAAGATTGTTAATCTTATTTAATTTTAATCTTAATTTTAATTTATTTTTTAATCTTAATTTATCTTAAGCATTTACCAGTTACGCATTTATAGAATAAAAAAATAAAGCAGAAATTAAAAAAATAGCTCTAAAAATGAAAATACTACTTTCTTGGCATTTAAACAATGTTCTGGACAACAAAAGATAGTGCAGCCGTTGCTGTTAAAGCAGCACATAACAAAAAAGTCTACAAAAAAACTAAAAATATAGATTACCTACGCAATTTAATTCTTCAAATGTTTTAAGACAATACTCTTGAATTAAATAAAGATAAAAATACTTGATTACAATAAACAAATTGAAAAACAAAGACAAAACTTAAAGTTAAAAAAGTTAAAAAGTTAAATTATACGGAGCGGGCGTGTTCCGTAAGCCCATCAACAGCTAGCCGTGCTAGCTCGTGCGAAATTGCACGGAAGATGATGCGCTGTAGTAATTATTAAAGCTGATCGAATTTTGCTTTGAAGCGATCGACATTGGTAGCACTGACTACTACGTTAGGAAATGCGTTCCATGGGTGAGCGACGCGGTTGTTGAAGGAATTTTAGCGAACGAGGCAGTTGTTGTCTATTTCACGATGAAAGCGCTTGCGATTACCGTAGCAAGGTGAGATGTTGGGTGGATCTATATGCCAGCTAATTGAGTCGATACTGTTTTCGAATTTAAATTTTTGAATGAGGTCGCCGCGTAAACGTCTATTTAATAGAGAGGTGAGACCGAGTTTGATGCATCTTGTCTCGTAATCGAAGCGCTCTATTTCGTGCGGTACTTTGGTAACCCGATGCTGAACACATTCTATGACATTTATGTCTTTTTCAAGATGCGGGCACCAGGCAGTAACTGCAAACTCGAGATGTGGGCGTATATAAGTGGTGTAAAGTTGTTTCCATATTTTGGTATCTCTGCTTATAAACGTGTTTTTCAATGTTCCGAGGACTTTATTAGCCTTGGCAGCAGCTATTTGTGCTTGCCTCTCATATTTTAAGTCGTTGGAAATTTGAACGCCTAGATCTTTTTCGGATGTTGAAGACTCGATTACTGTTCTAGTGACGCTACCGTTAGCGTCGTACTCGTTCATTAAATAAATGTGTGGGGAAACATTGTACTTACTGAAATGCATGACTTGGCATTTCTTGATGTTGAGTTCCATTAACCAGGTTCGAGTCCAGGTAACAACGCTATCTATATTGGATTGCAGACGAGCTTTGTCTTCAGTGGTTTTGACGACACTCACGATTTTAGTATCGTTTGCATATATTTTACATAAGTTTTCGCTACTGATGTGTTCGGATAAGTCATTAATAAATATTATGAACAGCGTAGGACCTAGCACTGAACCTTGCGGAACGCCACTGGTAACCTTTATCCAGGTGGATGTAGTATTACCTAATATGACACGCTGTGATCTATTTGAAAGGAAAGCTTTTATCCAGTTAAGAACGTTACCTTCGATTCCATAGGATTCAAGTTTTTGATGTAATCTTCTGTGAGGGACTTTATCGAAGGCTTTGGCGAAGTCAAGAAAAAGAACATCTACTGGAAGCTTGCGAGAAACGTTGTAGGTCAGAAAGTCCATAGCCTCAAGCAGATTCGTGACGCAGGCTTTTTTATTGACGAAGCCGTGCTGGCAATCGGCAATAAGTTTATGAGCTACAAGGAGCTGCATGATCTTTTCTTTAACAATTTTTTCCCATTATTTTGCATGGTACTGAGGTGATGGAGATAGGCCTAAAGAATTTAACCACTGTTATCAAGAAAAACTTAATACGCTGCAATTTACAAATTACGAACTCGATCCTTTCCAAATTTTACATTTAATTAAGAATTCAAAATTAATATCAACAGCTGAAAAATGTATTCAAAAGCTTAAAAATAATAAATCCTTTGATTGTTGTAAAATAAGTGCTGAGCATCTTAAAAACTCTCGCAGCAACAATTTCCAATGTTACTTTCCTTTTTTTATAACAGTATATTATATATATTAACAAATATAGTATAGTATATATATTAACAGTATAGTATATATATTACCAAATGGAAAGGTTCCTCAATGTTTATCAGCCGCTACAATTGTGTCATAAGTTAAATCATATAAAGCATCACTGGAAAATTGAAATAACTGTCGATATTATCATATTAATTATCACATTATTATCATAAAATCGAGGAATCAGCATTCTACCTATTTTTACAAAACTTCTCGAATATCTGGGAATATTTGGATTTACTACTTAAGAAACTCTTTTATCAGAAAAAATTCCATTACCTTTATTTCATACAATCTCATCGTCATATTGGGCAAGTACTGCTAATATACATTATTATAATATCTTGTTTACTCTGACAATCTTTTAGATGAAATTGTTTCAGAATCTAAAGTAGGAACTTCAATAAACGGGGTGTACACAGGTTTATTGCGAATGCGGTTGATATAATTTTAATACGCTCAACTATATCTGGTCATCAAAATCTAATTAGTATCGTTCAAAAATCAGAATATCTAACTTTATTTAGCTAAATTCAGTAAAAACTGAATGTTAAATATCTGAAATAAACTCGATTACTAATAACGTGATTTATATTAACAACGCTCCTCTTAAGTTTTGAAGAATTTAAAAATATCCAGCCTGCTACGATTATTCATTTATTTAAGTACTATTTCTTAATTCCCATAGAGTTTAAAGGAACAAAGACATATATTTAGAAATTTTATGAAGGAGAACGTTACAAGAACATACCTAGAAGTTTCTATATACTTTTTTTTTTACCTATAAATAATGTGATTATTGGGGGTTTAAAAGAAATATATGTTTAAATATATATGATTGTTTTTTCTTTATTGTTTTCTTGTAAAACAAAAAGAAAAGTGTAGCAGATTTGCTAATTACCACTAGTTTAGGCTGATCGTGAGATTTTTTAAATCAGATTTATTATAAGTATGCTTAAGAATCTTTTTTATGATGATGACAATAAACTAATGGAATGATTAATAAAATAATGAACTCAAATTTTAAAATTTAATCAACTAAACAATTGATAAAATAAAATAATAAAAGAAAATAATAAACTAAACTCAAATTTTAACATTTTATTTAACTAAATTTAGAGTACATTGTTTGAAATAAGTTTAATAAATAAATATCCTTGAAAATAATTACAAACTCAATGAAAATCAAGTACATGATAATAACAAATAATAATTTTTTGACAAAATACTCATTTACACCATTAAAACCTTCTAATCACATTTCTGCTGATATCGGCCGTGAAGACGATTTTCCACAGGAATCTTAAATACACATACATTAATTCATTAACGCATACAAATATACATGAACAATACAAATATATTTAAATTTTGGTTGATTTCATATTTGACTTAAAAAAGCTATTTAAAGCCGTTAAACACTCCTTTATTCTTAATTATAACTTATTTTTTTCAAAAACAAACTAACAAAAAAAGAAATAAGATAAATGATTAGATTATAGTTAAAAAAGCAGAGAACATTTATGGTGTGTCTATGCATGGTACGCAGAAGTACTTAACCTCACTCTACAGGAGAATAAACAGATGTCTAGTATGTATTATGCATTTTAGTAATACTGCGGCTTAAAGGCGAAGTCCAAAATTTACAAAATTATATAAATTTTATAAATAATGATAATATTGAAAATATCATATTTCGCTTCTAACTGTTAATGACATAACATAAAATAATAGCCACTAAACTATCTGTTAAATTTTCTTGTAAATATTCTTTAGTTTCTGGTGAGTATTCTTTAGTTTCTGGTGAGTATTCTCTAGTTTCTGGTTAGTATTCTTTAGTTTCTGGTGAGTATTCTCTAGTTTCTGGTTAGTATTCTTTAGCTTCTGGTAAGTATTCTTTAGTTTCTGGTGAGTATTCTCTAGTTTCTGGTGAGTATTCTCTAGTTTCTGGTGAGTATTCTTTAGTTTCTGGTGAGTATTCTTTAGTTTCTGGTGAGTATTCTTTAGTTTCTGATAAGTATCATGCGGTAGTGGTGTAGTGGTAGAGCGCTCGCTTCATAAACGAGTGGTTCCGAGTTCGATCCCCACCACGTCCCTGGTAGTACCGCGCTCAACTCGTTTCTCTGCGCAGCGGCCTTGTTCGTCAAGGTTCGTGTTTCGGAGTTATAGAGTTGAGAGAGGGTTATAGCCACAAAATAAGTAGCCTCCTCGTCTGTAGTGGCCTTCTCGGCCTTGAGGAGGTGAAGTAAAATAAAAAAAAAAAAAAAAAAGTATTCTTTAGTTTCAGGTGAGTATTCTTTAGTTTCTGGTGAGTATTCTTTAGTTTCAGGTGAGTATTCTTTAGTTTCTGGTAAGTATTCTTAAATTTATAACAAATTGTTTAACCCATTCATATTTATATATTTATTATTGGTAATATTGTTTCTTTTTAAAGTTTCAATTTTAATTTTTCATTTATCTCAATAATAAATTTTGAAAACATATCATGGCAACAAGGTTGGGGTTTTTTAGTGATTGATTAATTATTTTAAAATGTATATTATAAATTAAAATCATTTCAAATTTTAAATAGAAAATAAAAAGACCACTAAAAACATGTAAACAAATAATTTCAACAAAATAAAAAACTTCATACTATTGTTAATGCTTTCGGTAATATTTCTCAGAAGATTACATAGTTCCTCGACTTGGGTTTCAAATACATCTATAAACACCTCTAAGTTTTCTTGTGTTATTTTACTTTGAGGTTGAGCAGCCAGCATCTTTGCAGCATCACGCATCTAACATTGAAAAAAATATAAAGAATAAAACATATTCCAATCAATATTAAAAAATATCATTAATAAAATAAGCATAGTAATACAAGCACTTTTCTTTTTTATAAATGTATTAATTTATGAGGAAATTTAAAATCCATTTTCATAAGCGAGAACTTTTGATTGGATAAAAAGCACTTTTTTATTCGTTTATTTGAAGAGATTTTCATTTCACATATAAATGTTATAACAATTGTAAACAACGCTAACTCAAAATTAAAACTTTTTTCTAAAAATATTTAACATTTATGTGAGTATGTATGTATGAATGTATGTATGCATTTTTGTATGTATATATGCATGTATTTGCATCTATATATATACATACATACATATGCATACAAATGTTGTAATCGTCCACTTTAACTTTGTTAAAACTACAAGCTAAGATTGACAGCATTGTCTATTGAGTCCAAATATGGCTTCCTTTTTTGTAGAGTAGAAAAACTTTAATTCTTTTAACTCTTACTCTATAATTTTTATTTTTTATTTTTACAAGGTTCAAAAATTTAAATTTACGCTAGTTTTACTTAAGCTTACTTAAGATTAAAAATTTCATACCTAACAATAGTTAGAAGAAATTTAGGATTTTGCAAACCAACAAATCAGAGTCACACATTTCTTGTATATGACTGCGAGATATTTTAATAAATATATTTTAGACCTAATTAAAAAAATAATAGAATTCTACCATAAAGTATGTACACAGGTATAAGGGAAGGGGGTTACTCAAAAATTTACACAAGCGTATAAGGGAAGAAGAGAAAGCAAGTATGTATATGGTTTGACTATCCCTCCTAAAACTTTATTTTTTTTTTATTTAGAAGCATAGAATTTCAAGAGTTCAAAAAAACAATATTATGTAACATATGCAAAATTAACTGTTTTTAAAATTTATGCTTTGGGCAGTTGATTTTGAAATAAAAATATGCAGAGGGGGAAGGAGGATTGTTGAAAATATACAGTTGCGTACAAGGGGGAAGTGGGGTCCTAAATCAGTACTTTTACTGTATAGATACTTAATGAATGTCCCAATAGATAAAACATAAAAATTTTTTTTTTCAATCAATAGCTCAATTAAGTCTAACATCAGATAACTTAAATAATATGTATACATCTATCTACAACTTAAAAATTGAATTATTGGAAAACTGCTAGCAATTTTTTCTATATTTTGCTTCAATTTTAAAAACTAAAAATTATACTATCAGTGTTTTCTGGAGTACAAAAAAAATTAAAAAGATTTAAAATTAATTTAAGTATAAAATCCTGGTGACAAAAAATTAACTACTACTTTATTTATATTGGTTTTACAACATATTTCAAATTATATATATATGCACATGTATAATATATCTAAAAGATATAGCATCCTAGTCGCAACTTTTTTTTTTACTTTTTTATACTATTTTTATAATATTCATATTTATTTTTTAATTTTTATTTTATTTCAATTTTTATTTATACATATTTAAATTTATTATTTTATTATCAAAATATAATTTTTATATTAATTTTTGTTATTTTTATTTATTTATTTTATATTATTTCATTTTTAACTTCATCTATTTATAATTTCATTTTTAACTTCATCTATTTACAAAAACGATTAATTACAATAATATATCCAAATTTAAACCTTGCCATAACCCTAATCCTAAGCCTGACCGTGATGCCTGGTCAAACCAAACCCTCAGTCGATGTAGCAGCACTCCCTTGTGAGTATAGGCTATTTGATAGTCGATGTATGTACTTTTCGTTCTCTATAAAAGTTTCTTATTGGTACATTAAAAAAATAAATAATAATGCTTTTGGGACAAAAAATTAACGGGTATACTAAAATGTCCCCAATAATGCTAATGTAATAATTTTTTGTAAAATCTGTCCCTGTACGTGATAAAATACATGTGTGTGTGTATATATATATATATATATATATATGTGTGTATATATATATATATATATATATATATATATACACACACACACACACACACACACACACACACACACACACACACACACACACACACACATATATATTTATATATGCTATATATATTTATAGCATATGTAAATATATATAATGCTAATGTAATAATTTTTTGTAAAATCTGTCCCTGTACGTGATAAAATACATGTGTGTGTGTATATATATATATATATATGTGTGTATATATATATATATATATATATATATACACACACACACACACACACACACACACACACACACACACACACACACACACACACACACACACACACACATATATATTTATATATGCTATATATATTTATAGCATATGTAAATATATATATTTGAAATCTTGTAAACAAACAACCAAAATAATTTCATTAAAAGAAATTCAAACCTGTGGTAATAGATTGACTAGATTTTCTTCAAGTCTTGAGGCTGTAAGTATGCATGGCCTATTAGAACAAATATTCTTCACAAGATTTGAAACCTAAATATTAACTTCAAAGACTTAAAAATTGAATAAAAAATTGCATCAACGAAAATCATTTTAAAAAATTAACAAAAGTATAAAATTTATTGCAATTTGTTTTATCAACTGATAAAACAAGTGCAACAGTGTACATCAATTGACATAAATAGGAGAACATAATGAGAGTGAACATACATTATCTTACTTAAACAAGGAGAACATGCAAGGAGTGCCATTACCACGACTGACTTAAATAAGGAGCACATGAAAGGTGCTGCTACATTGACTGAGAGTTTTTGTTTGGGTAGGCAATTATCTACCAATTGAAAAAAAAATTTTTTTTTAAGCTTTTAAACCCATCTCCTATATTACTATATTTTTAAAAATACATAATTATGACATTTTATGATAAAAAAGTTAAAACATGTTATACAATATCAATATACATACAATGTTTTATGGTAAGACCTTTGAGTTAAATTTTTTTTGCCAATCTGATGCCGATTGGCAAAAAAATACTTACAGTCTGTGTGTGTGTGTGTATATATACACACACGCACGCACTTTTGCTAGGTCATCTTTAACTATAACCATAAAATGTAAACTTTAAATTAAAGAAAAAAAAATGTAATTTAGAAGGCCATAAAAAAAAAAGAAAAAACTTAAAAGTTTTTTTTTTCAAGATTGATAAATGGCCAGACTAAAGTAAAACTCTCAGACAATACAGCAGCAATACAGCAGCACTCCTCATATGTTGTACCTATTTATCAGTGGATACAGTAGCACTCGTTGCATTTTCTATCTGTTTATTGATATAAAACTATGAATAAGTAAAAAGTATCAATGTTTTAAAATTAATTAAAAATTGTTTTAAAGACTGGAAAAAATTTTAAAACTTCTTTTTTTATTATTTAAGAGACTACCTGCCCCAGCCAAAGTATCAGTCAATGTAGTGGCACTCCCTTGTAGCAGCAGGCAGTAAGATAGTCAATGAAGCAACACTCCAAACATGTTTTTACAGAAGATGAACACTCAATATTATTGTGTTTACTTTCTGTATCACTTTCTTTACTTCTTTATTATTAGAAGATAACTAGTTGATTAAAATAGCATCTCATTGTAAATTTTCTTTGAACACATTGTTTAATGGTGGACTTTTGCTACGTTAGAAAGACTATTTTATTTAATATTTTAATAAACTTCTACTTTGCAAATACTAGTAGTAATTTATCCAAAAAAAATGTAATGTTACATTGGCATTTTGAATCATGTTTTTTCAATTTGTAATGAGTTTTAAAATTACATTTTCTTATAATTCAAAATGCTAATGTATAATTTTTTTAAACATATTAGTTGCATTTATAAAATTTTAAATAAAATAAAACGTATTAGTTGCATTATATATATTTTTTAAATGTATTAGTTACATTTTGAATTACATAAATGGGCACATGAATCATTAATGTTTAACCTTTCGTTTATCATTAGTAAAATAAATTTTTATATTAGATATATGGGTAATAATAATTGTAAAACATTTTTTGCAAGGATTTTAAACATTAGGTAACTATTTTAGTTATTTAATTTTAGTAGTTAATGAATATTTAAAATACTTCAAACAATCTTTAATCTATGATTACAAAAAGTTTGGTATTTTTAAAATTAAAATAACTGTAATTACGCTTATTAAATGTTTAAGCCTTGTTTGTCTATTATTCAACTTGTAGTCAAATAGTTATAATCATTTGTATTCAAATAGCTATAATACCAAATGTAATAAAAATTAAAAACAAAAATTACTCATAAATATTATATATAAATATATAAATAAATTTACTCAAAAATTACTATAAATTAGCAAAAATTACTCCTATTTATAAATCAGGTGACCATTGTAACATTACAAATTATCGTCCTATTTCAGTTCTTCCAGTTCTTTCCAGTACTTCAGTTCTTCTCTCTAAAATACTAGAAAGAATAATGTATAACAGAGTATACAATTATTTTGTTGATACTAAACTTTTATATAATAATCAATTTGGCTTCCAGAGAAACTTATTCTTCCAGAGAAACACATCGTACTCCAACTAACACACAGCATTTCTGATTCTTTTGAAAATTCTCATTTTACCCTGGGAGTATTCATTGATTTGTCTAAAGCTTTTGATATTGTCGATCACCATTCTATTAAAAAAATTAGAACTCTATGGAATTAAAATATATATCCCTAAGCTGGTTCAAAAGCTTAGTAATTGTAAGCAGTTTGTTAATATCTAAGACTCTTTTTTGCCTTTATTAATGAATGTAACATGTGGTGTCCCACAGGGATCAATAGTTGGGCATCTATTATTTCTAATATATAGAAATGACCTCAACAAAGCCTCTAACTTAACCACTATAATTTTTGCTGATGACACAAGCCTATTCCAATCTCATGAAAACATAAATACACTTTTTGATAAAATGACACAAGAATTAAATAAAAAATCATATTGGTTTAAGAAAAACAAATTGTCCCTCAATATTGATAAAACAAAATGGACACTTATTTACCCAATATCCAAAACCTTCTCGGAGTTCTTGTAGACAAAAACTAATCCTGGAAACAACAAATCGATAATATCTCCTTGAAGGTTGCTAAAAGTATTGGAATTGTATATAAAGTTCGACATATTTTAAATAAACAACAATTAAAACAACTATATTATTCGTTTATCCACTACCATTATGCAAATATTGTATGGGGAAGCGTGTACAAAACTAAACTTTAATCTCTTAATCAGCATCAGAAACACACAGCTCGCTTAATTAATTTTGTAATTCGTTTTTCAAATTCAAAACCATATCTGAGAGAAACGAAAGGCTTAAATGTATACAAACTAAATGTTTATAATATTTTATGTTTCATGTTTAAATGTAAAAATCATTTATCTCCTGATGTATTTAGGAACCTTTATAATGTAAAACCCATAAACAAATACAATCTTTGCAATGGAAAAATTCTACAAGAACCTTTCTGCCAAACTAAATTTGAACAACTAATTATTTCTTATTGCGGTCCTTATTTATGGAATAAAATAGTTTTGCCAAATTTTGATTTGTCATTGTAATGGACTTAAACTTCTTTCAAAGGAAAATTAAAAGAAGTTATCTTTTCAGCAGAAAATATTTTTTTCTTGTTTTTAGTTCTTTTCTTTCATATATTTCATATAACTTATCCAGTATATTTATATTTTAAATGCACAGTTATATATAGTTTATGTTGATTTATTTTTATTGGTTAATTTGATTTTTTTATTACTATTATTATATTTGATATTGGGCTTCATGATAAGATCGTATGATCTTCTGAAAGTTTTACTATTACATTTACTATTTATTTTTATTATATTATTTTTTTTTTAATAAACATTTACTATTGTCTTTTTTTTTAATTAAAGATAATGAAGTTTAAAAATAAGTACAACTTAATAATACTTTAAATAAAAAAAACTTAACAAAACTAAGAATTATTGTAGTCGTTATTTTTATCATTATAAAAGTCGAAAAGAATACCAAGAGAAATAAAACTTTCTATTTTGATTTTTCCTTTAGGAAAATATAATAGTTAAGATCAAAAGTTTATCCATTCAAATATTAAATTTGCACAATTACTAAATTGTTGATAAGAATTTTTACTTTAGTTCATTTATTATTAAAAACGACTTTTAATTGTTAATAAGCTAAAGTTAGTTTTACTCTAAATGAATATTTTAAAATCGTTCTTTTAAAAAAACAAATTTTTCATACATTCGATTGTCTTTAAATTGAGGCATAAAAAGTTCAAACTTTTTTTAAACATTCTACTAGTAATTAAGAGTAAATAAAAGTTTTAAATACTTAATGAGTTACCACACATAATTACTTTTTAATTAATTTTATTGTCCTAAAAAAAAAAAAATCTGTAAAATAAAATAAAAATTAGTTATTTACTAAAGCATTCGAAACAGAAACTTTATTTCCTATTTTTACCAAAAAAGCAAAAGAAAAATAACAAATAAAAAACAGCAATAAATTTTTGACATAATTTAACTTTAAAAATAATTTAAATAATTTTACTTTAAAACAGAAGATTGGATATTTTTTGCTGACCTCAAATACTTTAAGGTCAACAGTTAGGTATGCAGATTTTAATGTTGACACTATATATATACAGTCGTGGCCAAAATACTTTGGACAACTTAAAAATATACCAAAAATATGAAAAAACCAATTTTTATTCATACAAACTAAGAGTCTAAAAACATACAAAATTCTATTGAGTAATATTTAATAAAATGTCCTATGTTTTTAAGCACCAGTTTGATACGTTTTGGCATAGAATTGACTAGTTTTTGTTCTTTGGTAATCTCAGTCCACCTAACGCGCGTAATCCAGTAGACTAAATCTTGCATTGTGTATGGTGCATGTTGTTTCACTCTCCGCTTAAAAACCATCCACAAATTTTCTATTGGATTTAAGTCTGGTGAATTCCCATGCCATTCCAGCACTTTGATCTTTTTTTTGACAAACCATTGTCAATCTGTCTTTGCTGTATGGTACGGTGCACCATCTTGTTGAAATGTGGTACACCGATGTATTTGCATTGCAAACCTCGCTTTCCAACATTTCCAGATGCTTGCCTGCATTCACAGTTGTGCCTTGAGGTACAAAATACAGTGCACCATGTCCAAAAGCAGTAAAACACGCCCAAACCATCAACTTTTGGCAGTGTTTCACAGTAGGAATTGTGTAACGAGGAGCTAACGTTTTCCGACAGGATGTCAAACATAATGATGCTAAGTACCAAATGGCATAACCATAGTTTAACAGTTGACTTCTGAATTTTCATTTATTTTTTAATTTTTCTGCTAAAAATTCTGTGGAATTTGTGATACTGTTCTATTACAGCAAATTGATTAATTGAAACAGGTGTTGAAACGCTTGTCTTGAAAACTTTTTTCAGTCTTCACTAACGTTCCTTTGGTCGTTTTGTCAACAATATAGTTTTTTTAATGTTACATTTTTTAGTGGTTATAAGCCATTAGGAAAAAATTCCATTTATTATCTCATCTCTTTATTTCCTCATTATTCTCTGCCGACTGATTTAATGTTTGTATATTTTTTTTATCTCTGGCTAATCATTGTTTAATTACTCTGAGTCTGTTTTGTATGATAGCTATTGTCTCTACTTATCAGGCAAGATTTATATGAGAACATACTATTGGAGTTATCACATTTTTATCATACTTTCGTTTAACTACTTTCGTACTAACCACAAAACATCTTAACTTAGTATCAATGCTTATGAGTGGTATTTACTTATTATAATTATAATACATATTTCAGCCATAAAAGAAGTGGTAAGTTAATATTAATTATTAATTACTATTTTCTATTCGCTTTGTGTTATTTCTACACATAACAATTGTTTATTTATACACGCGCATATGTACATGTGTACAAGTTTGTTTCTTCTAATGTAAGGGTACATATCTGTTTATGGTCACACCACGCGCATCCCTCACCACCCTCACGAGTTGTTGAAGCTGTTTTCAAAAACTGGGATAAGGATTGGGTTTTTTGGCTTTTGTAATGTAGCCCAATTATATTGCAATATTGACTAGCATTATGTAGAGTGCAGGCGGTGAGATCTGTTGCAAGGACACGCTCCTGACGAGTGGCGTTAGTGCAGGTCTCGGGCTCTCCGAAACGTCATTGGTGATCGCAGTGCATTCCTGAGGAGGGGGATCACCATTTATCCACTACTTAATTCTAATTGGTTATTATGGCACCAACATTTTTTTACCTCTTACACCCATGAATTTTTGCGCTTTGTGAGCTTTTTATTATGAATTTGTTACATTAAAGACATTTATATATTTTTATGTTACATAGGTGATTATCAGTTCTCAATTTTTTATCTAGAATTTAGAACATATATAGTACCACATTTGTTAGACATTTGTATGGTACGATTTTTTTAGTTATGAATACCATTAATAAACCAGTGGATTTTTATTGACTTGTTTACTCATAGATCATTATTTTATCATTTGCTAAAAGATGACTACAGTGTGAATTTTGGTTCCTCTCTTCCTGAGTTGCTAACTTTTACTCCTCCTACTAAATAGTCTTCACATTAATTTATGTTTTTTTACCTTAATGACATCATCTTCAATCTGTTTTTATTTTTACATCTCCCAGGTCTGCGTAACTGGACAGCTCTGTTGGTCACTTTTTGCGATCATTGTGTCGCATAAGCAAAAAAATTTATTCTTTGTGGCTGGTGAGCCCTGACTTTTTCCAATGTACACCACAACAACAAAACGGACATTAGGCTATCCCGCTGCATGTGATTACGGCGCTCAATAACCTAATGACTACGCTGACACTCACGCACACGTTCAGTCGGATGTTCCACAATACATTGGACCAGCGCTCGCTGACTATGTGCTCGGATCTGAAATCTCACTTCATAGCACATCATTCCATACCAGCAGGGGCAGTAGCTCTTTTGGCTAAGAGTGGCCTACATGACTAATGTATGCATTCGATCAATTGAAATCCATTCTGTAGGTCTTACGTCTGGCTCTAATGTGCTAGCCCATAAGCCCAAGAAGTGAGTGAGTTTAGCTTTCTATTCACCTGATTTGAAAGTGAACGGAAACATAACGAGACCATACTAGACACCAAAACAATACGTACTAATGCACTACACCATCACACCTGTAGACATCAACAGTTTTCAAAATCATTATATCAAATATTTGTTATTTGTTACATATGATCTACACACAGAGTGACTAGAGTGTTAGTTGGTTCTCCCCCTTCCCCCGAGCATTTAACTTTGTTCTTCATCTTTTGACTTCACAAAAGTCTTATCACTCATTTTATATTTTCTTATGATTTTTATTTTTTTATTCAATGACACTATCTTCTAACTGTTTTTATTATCACAACTCTCAGGTCTACGAAACTGGACGGCTCCATTGGTCACTTTTTGCAATCACTGTGTTGCATAAACAAAAAATTGATTAATTGAAACTTGACTTGATTAATTGATATTGTTATTTTACATTATAATAAAGTAATAAGCATCCAAAAAGTCAACAAATAATTAAAAAATTACGAGTCTAAAAAAAATCCATAAATAGCTAGTAAAATAGCAAATATTTTATTATCCTACAATTTGTCTCATAGCAACAGCTATCCAATACCTGCTAAAAATTGTTTTCATGTAATTAATAACATAGATCAATATAAGGAGTAGAAAAATTGTAAAATAAAATAAAAATCTGTGTCAAAATAAAATAAAAAAAAGTTGTGGCCGAAGTGTTTTGGCCACAACTGTATGTTTGAATATACATACAAACATACAGTTTGTATATAAGTTAAGAAAGTGCTGAGCTTGATAAAGAGATGCAACTTTAGCAAATGCTAATTTTGCAACAGATTTGATATATGGTTTCCAAGAAAGATCAGAAGTAATTGTTAATCCTAGAAGATGAAGGGTAGATGATTCATCGAGTACATTAGTGTTCATAAATATAGTAAGGTCTATATTATTGCAATAACGATTGGCTGAAATAAATTAAGTTTGTGAGCCCCATGCTGTAGCAGAAGTGAGATCCTTTTCAAGCTCAAACGCCCCCTCTAATCAATCAGAGAGAGAGTTGGTTTCTTATCATGACAAGAATAAATGGTAGTATCATTAACAAACAATGCCACCTTAGATGTGAGAATATCTGGAAGATGGTTAATGTAAATTAAAAAGAGTATAGGGCTAAGGATTAAACCTTGAGGAACCCCTAAGGTTACAGAAGAAGAAGAGTGCAGTCCATCAAGGACAACCATTATACTACAATTGGAAAGGAAGGATTCAATAATCTTAAAGATGTTTCCAGACACACCGTAAGAAGAAAGCTTATGGAGAAAACCAGCATGCCAAACTTTATCAAACGCTTTAGAAATGTCAAGCAATGGCCTTAAGCTCTCCACCTTTATCTAATGCACGATAAAACCTATCGGTTGTTAGTGTTAGCAAATCAGCCGTAGAATGAGAAGATTGAAATCCATATTGATGATCAGAAAATAGGTTATGAGATTTAAGATGAGAGATTAAGTGTTTGTTAATTAAAGATTCAAAAACCTTGCTTATGATAGGAAGAAGACTAATGGGACGGTAGCTACACAAATCAGATCGCTCTCCAGAAATTTTAAAAATAGGGATACTAGATACTGCTTTGCAGCAGGCTGGAAAACAAGACTCTGATAAGCATTTGTTGAATAGTTTTAAAAGGATAGATGACAGCTCCGGAGAACACTTCTGCAAGATATAACAGGTATGTTGTCCGGGCCACAAGCTGTAGAAGAGTCTAAGCAGGAAATCATTTTAGATACAGAAGCTGGAGTGATACAAATATCAAGCAATGGATCAACCTGTTTGACGGCTATATCAAGTAGAATGCAACTAGTGGAATCAAGAGATGATATTGATTTCTTTAACAATAATGGCATACAATCTATAATTATTACTAATTATATTATCTAATAAAGTTAATTAGCAGAAAGAAAAATCAGGGCTGTGGAGTCGGAGTCGCTAAACAAAATCGTGACTCTGACTCCAACAGTAAAACTTCTCAGAATTGCATGTACAGTATATTTAATCTTTATAAAATTTTTCATATATCTATATATTCCATATTCATTTAGCTTTGGAGTTGGAGTTGCACTCTGAAAATTTCAGCAATTGGAGTCAGAGTTGGAATTTTTATTTTACGACTCCACACCCCTGAGAAAAATTTTTTCTTTTCTTTTATTCTATAAATGGACACAAATTTTTGGTAGTCTTAATATATGTATATAGAAACTCATGCACTAACACAAACATAAAAGTTTAACAATAACAATAAACTAATAAATAACTATAATGGATTAGTTATGAAGAGAAACAATTAATCTACCTCTTGCAGCTTTTGAAATTCTGTATCCAATATTTTTATTTCTGCATCTAAGCTTGCATTATTTTCAGCCAATGCAGCAGCTTTAAGTTGCCGTAATGAGTTTTTATACTCAAATATTTTTGACAGTTGCACAACTTGTTCTTTAGTAGCAGCTGTTAGCTGTTTTAAAATTTTTGGTTATAGGCATGTTATAAAGTTTAAAAAAAAAAAAAAAATTATATATATATATATATATATATATATAAAATTATATATATTTTTATATATATAGCAAATCACCACAATAAAACAATAATATTTTACAATTATATAAAATTATAATATAATAATTATATCATAAAATATAAATACATATATGAATACATTAAGTGACAACAAATAGTTATAGAGAAATATTCTGGTCTTCAATTTCTGGTCTTCAATTTCCCAGTTCATTAAATCTGTAAACTCTGTTATTATCATAAAATTTAATAATCATTTAATAAAAAAATATTTATTCATCAGTATTCAAATAAAAATATTTATTAACTCATCTTGTAATTGACATAATATTCAATTATCAGTATTCAATAAAAAATTTTTTTTTTCATTAATCTTGAAATTAGCAAAGTCTGTCAATTTTTTTCATTAATCTTGAAATTAGCAAAGTCAATTTTGATGGTTTATTCATACAAAATTGTCTTGTGTTTTTAACATTTTTGTTAAAAAAAAAAAAAATTAATTTGCCCTATCCATTAAAACAGAGTTAATGGTTTTCAAAAACTTAAACTTTAAACACCAGAAAATTTACGAGATATTGCAGTAATTTTTTTTTTTTAAATATCAATTGAAATAGAAAATTGACAAATAAATTTGAAAAAATTTGAGAATACTAACTTCAAACTTTAGGTCTTGTAGAATAGTTAAGATGTTTGGTAAGATTTCTTTTAGGTGCTTCATGCTGTTGGGTATCTGAAATAAAAATTTTTAAAAATGGTTACACACTAATAGATACTTGAAGTAAAGATTCCTATTGTCTTTGATTTTTACTTCATGTAATTGGATATTTCAATAAAAATTGTTTTTTTAATGTAACTCAAAATGAATATGAATAAACCGGTGAATCATCTAATCGGCATTTAGTTGTTTAAGAATTTTGATAACAAAACACTTACTGTATCTTTTTTTCCCTTTAAACAAGCTCGTAGATTTTTATCGAGTTCTTTTGTTTTGTTAATATAACTTTTCATGTTCAACTTTTTTGTAGGGTTAATTTGCCCAACATTAATTACACTTTCCATATCTATTGTAATATTGTCTAAAGCCTCAGAAAGCTGTTCTATAAACTGCACGGCTTCAGACGGGTTAGAAGGAACTTTCTCAATAAGATCCTAAAGCAAAAAAAGTAAGGAAACAAAAATAAAAACAAGATGAATAAAGGGTCTTCCATAAATTATGTCACAAAATGATGTTGATGTTATACCAATGATGGGGATGGGGTTAGTAGTTTGTGGTTTTGTGACAACTCGTATGGGATTTGTCACTATAGAGCTACAGTGTTGTAACAAGGAAAAAAAAGGGAGACAAAGAGGAGAGGTTTTAAAATAGATAAAAATTGTGTGATGTAATTTATGGACAACCCCATTTAAGATAAATAAATAAAATAAATATAAATTAACGTAAACACTTTACATAGCTTAAAAAAAACAACAACTGTAAACTTAAAAAAACATAATAAATAAACTAAATAAAAAATTAATTTAATGAAGGATATTGGAGGATTGTAACAGGTATTAAAAAAAACCAGTAGTCATTCTAACTCTATTATTCTTTTTAACATCTTCACTTTCAACAAGACTGCAAGCAACCAATATTAGAGTTGGAAGTTACTAGAAGAGAAAAGATGAAGTTTATAGAGCAAGATAACAATTAACAGACAACTTAAAAGATTGCAAATTGTATGAACCTGGAAAGCTAAATAAAGGAAGCAAATTCCAAAGAAATGATGTTTGAAGAAAAAAACTAGACAAATAAGAGTTTTTGAAGCACTTAGGAACAGTCACAGTAAAGGATGAGGCTCATTTAAATGATGAGTAACGCAATAATGAATTTTAATAAATGTCACAAGAGAAGCTAGCTTATTAGAGCAACACTCATTATAGTATTTAAAGAAAAGAGAAAGAGAAGCAACATTATGGCGATGTGACAATGGTTGGAGGTTGGCTGCAAAGCAAGTCCAACTATGTTAACATTTTATTTTTACACCTTGTCAAAAAGAGAAAAAGCATCATTGGAAGATCTGACTCAGATATGGCAACAGTATTCCATACAAGGATGGATTTGAGATTTACAGAAATAATTGAATACTGAGTAAGAAAGTGATGAGCACAATAAAGAACTTTGTTTGATGATATGGTATAAAAAGTATAGATTTACTGAACAAAACTTTATTGTGCTCGCCATAGCAGATGGTAATTTTGCAATCGATTTGATATATGGTTTCCAAGAAAGATCAGAAGTAAGAGTTAATCCTAGAAGACGAAGGGTAAATGACTCATCAAGTATATTACCGCTCATGAATATAGAAAAATCTAGATTATTACGATAATGATTAGCTGAAAAAATTTATCTGAGTTAAAGTTGACCACCCACTGAGAGCCCCATGCTGTAGCAGAAGTAAGATCCTTTTCAAGGTCAAATGCCCCCACCAATCAATCAGAGAGTGTTGGCTTCTTATTAAGACAAGAAGAAATTGTAGTATCATCAGCAAACAATGCCACCTTAGACATGAAAATTTCTTGGAGATCAGTAATGTAAATTAAGAGTATAGGCCCAAGGATAGAATCTTGGGAGAAGTTACAGAATATGAAGAAGAGTCCATCAAGGACAACTTTTATATACAACTGGTAAGGAAGGATTCAATTATCTTAAAGATGTTACCTGATACACCATAAGAAGTGAGCTTATGGAGAAGACCAGCATGTCAAACTTTATCAAAAGATTTAGAAATGTCAAGAACAAAATCCATATTGATGATCAGAAAGTAAGTTATTAGATTAAAGATGAGAGATAAAGTAATTGTTAATTAAAGACTCAAATACCTTGGTTATTATAGGAAGAAAACTTATAGGACGTTAGTTAGACAAGTAAGAGTTGACGAGTTAGTTGCCCTCTTGGGAAGATAAATACAGTACAAAATACAGTATAAAAAGAAAAAAAAAATTGAATTAGTTTTAAATTTGATAATCAATCAAAAATAAAATCACTTACCATAACATCAAGAAAATCTAATGTGATCCCATGACTAACATTGGAGTTTGGAGCAACATTATCTCTAATAATCAATTTCAAAATATCCATCGATTGGCGCATATTTTTAAATACAGATTTTCGATTTCCATTAGCAAGCTCTGATTCTGGATGCCGCAAACATGCCTGTAGTATGTGTTAAAACAAGTTATATAAAACTAAGAAAGTATTTTTAAAATATTAAAGTTTTAGTAGTAATAAAAAATAAGTAATACCAAAATAAGATTATTAAGTAATAGTAAAAAATATATAAAAAATATAAACACAATATAAGCGAAGGAGAATATTGTTATAAATATATATGTTAAAACTATGACTGTTTTAAAACATTATAATTATTTAAAAAAAAATTTTAAACTATTTTTATATTAATTTTATGGGGAAACAATTTAGATTGTCAATAGTTTTTAAATAAGTTGTTTTATCAACTTTTCACATATTGTTTAATTTATTTTAATATTTATAATATATTGCATTTTTTACTTCATAATTAAAATTATTATATATAATTATTATTATAAAATAATTATAAGTTATATAATATAATTAAATATCAATTATAAATATTATATGTTTAATTTGTATTTTAAGAGTTTTTCTTGCAACTCTCACATGCGCAAATCATGCTCTTAGAAACACTATTGAGTCATTCCATGCCAAATGGACCAAGGTTCAACATAGACCTTTTACAGATTTCCAACATGTCTTTGTTGAAAACCAGTTTCCTTGATCCTGTTACGCATTGTCTGAGGAGTGATCTTGACGCAGTGCTCATTTTCCAACAAACCAAAAGGAATTGATTCCAGTCTGCCAGAAATTTAGCTAAAAAAGTGGAAAATGTGCACGGCATCAAGATCACTCCTCAAACAATATGTAACAGGATCAAGGAAGCTGGTTTACAAGGAATATATGTTCCTAAAAAGCCATATTTGAAGAAGAATTATATGAATGGCCAATTGAATTCTGCTAAAAAGTACAGAAACATGGATATTAATTTCTGGAAAAAGATTTTATGGAGTGATGAATCTAAATTCAATCTGAAGTCATCTGATGGAGCTAAAAAAGTTCAAGAAATAGAATTGTATTAATTGAACTGTATGAAAGGCACAGTAAAGTTTGGTGGTGGCAATTTTATGATTTGGGGATCGATGGCTTGGAAAGGAGTTGGAAAACTGGCATTTATTGACTCAAAAATGGATGCTCCATTAAATCAAAAATGGATGCTCTATTATAAAGATTCTACAGAGACATTCTCAATAATAATCTTTTCAGTTTGAAAATTGCGACTAGGCAATAGTTATATTTTCCAGCAAGACAACAACGCTAAACACACCGCTAAAGATACAATGAAATGGTTCACTGATAATAGTTTGGAAGTCCTTGAATGGCCCGAACAAAGCCTGGACTTAAACCCCATTGAACATTTGTGGGCTATTCCGGACAGAACAACTGGAGATCCGTCACTCAGAAAGAAAGAGAGGTGTAGAGAGGCTGTGACAGCAGTATGGGCAAAAATTATGCCAGAAGAAACAAAAAGTTTGGTTAAATCAATGCCAAGACGATGTGAAGCTGTTATCCAGGTTAAAGGTGGACCCACCAAATACTAAAATGTGATTTATTAATACTAAAATGTGATTTATAATTAAGTTCCTCCAGAAAAAAATTTGCTGCAATTTTTATTTTGCCAATAAATCAAAGTCAATTTACATTTATTAAAAATTAAAAAAAATGTGATCATGGAATTAATAAAATGAAAATAAAATATTTAACTATGTTAAAGTAGATATTTGTAATAATTTATGTATTGTTAAAGTAGATATTTGTAATAATGTGATTTACAAACTTTACACCGATAGTTTGATGATCATAATATAAGATCATCTCATAAGATGATCATTGCATAAGAATGAATTAGCACAATCATATAATTTAAGCACCCACTCTGCAGCATAATGGTCACAAAAGATTTAGTTTCTTATAAGCAAAATGGTAGTATATTCCAAATGCTTTTGCAACATAATGGGTACAATCAATAGTTAGTAAAATCAATACTACACAATAAAATATTTCCAAATAACGGAATTCTACTTCACCATGTTCAGCTAATAAACTTTAAAATGTAAATTTTTGAGAATTTAAAGCTGGAGATGCCAATCTTCAATCCATTTGACTAAATTCCTCAAAAATAAAAGTTTCATGTCACCCAAAACAGCTGCATTTCCAATAAAAATATTGTTGCTGTATTTTTGCTTACTGTTACTTATTGTCCACCATATATTTATCAACTTTAAAAAGCTTGAGGAATCAGCTCAATCTGGAAAATAAATTTTGCAATACACAGCTAATATTTTGAAACTATGGAGGCAATAGAACATAAAATAATTTAGAGAACAATGACACATGCATAAGTTCATCAACAACAATTGTTTCTGTAACTTCTAAAATCAAAGTGTTAAATTTAAATTTAAAAAATATCTGTTTGTCATTATTTTGAGTTAAAGCCCTTCAAGGTTAAAATTATTTAAATCATTTAAACAGTGAATTTCATATTTTTCTATAAATATACTGGATTTGATATAATTGTTTATAATGATGATGGTATTTTTTTTTTATTTAAGCAATATATAATTGGAACGAGATGTAAGTCCCAAACTAATGTTACTTAAAAATGTGTCTTCACTTCAAACCACCGGTAACCTAGGATCAACACTGGTTTTAATCAGATTTTTTTTCTTCTAATTTAATAGACTTTATTACAGTGATTTCAGAAAAAAAAAAAATAGCGGGTACTCATGGGGAAGAGACAAAACCAGAACAATGAAAATTATCCAAAATGCATTGAAAACAATAAAAATAAGGTTATTATTGTACTTTGTATTATATTGTAATACAATGTATGTATGAATTTAAAAGTATTTTATAATCAGTACTAGAAATAAGTCTTTAATTAGACCTGAATTAAACTCAGTTTTTAAATAGCCCTAGCTCTTCCCTGCCCCCTTTCCCCTGTCCATTTACTTTTTAATAAGCGCATTTTGCCCAATAGTTTGAAAAAAATTGTAATTAAACACTTCTCCTTACACAGTATGTCTAGTTTTATGTCTGATGTAAAAAAATTAAACTCAAAAAACTTGAAGTGAAAATTACTTTTTGTTGTGTTTTTAATTGCAGTTGATAAAAATTAATTAAAAAATTATCATTTGAAGCGTTTTGTTTAAGTTATACAACATGCTTCTACAATTAACTTCTATTGATTGTTTAATAAAGGAAAATTTTATTTAAATTATTCAAAGAGTTGCAAAAAAAATTGTTTAAAAAAATAACGTAGTTTTTTAAAATAGTAATTTTTAATTATTTCATGCTTTGATGAGTAAGTCAAGTTTAAAAAAAAAACTTTAAAAAAAATTCTTTATAAAAATATTTAATTTCACTTATTCATCATTTAAAGTAACTTAAAAAAATAATCTTTTAAAAGATTTTAGAAAGATAAAGAATAGTAGTTTCAAGCGTTAAAAATTGTCATAAAAAAATACATACCTAATAAAAAAAATTTTAATATAACATTTATTTACACATAATGCCTTTGTATTAAACAAACATTATAATAAATTTTTTATTTTTTTGGTTTGCGTAAAATAAAAACTAAATATAATACAAATATTTTTATTAATAATATTAATATTAATAATACTAAATAATATAAAAATAAAATAAAATAAAAAATAAAAAAAAAGAACAACAATTAAAAGTTATTTGTAACGTAACAATTAAAATTGCATTTAAATTGTTTAAACATCAAAACAGCCAATGTCAAATTGTAAAAAAAAACTTATTTAAAAAAAAAAAAAATCTAAACAATAAGGAAATAAACTTCGCTTGACTAACGTTAGATAAACTGAATAATATGGCTCAGATTTCGATTGCATAACTCAGTTCAAAAACAGTAAATATTATATTAAAAAAATTTGATCAGACACAGTCCGACCCAAACAAGCTTCGACCGTACATTTTGTCTGGGACTTTATGAAAAAATTAAATTGAGCCCTGTGATTTTGTGATTGTGTGAATTTATATATAGTACAACTGTGTAGCAAAATTATTATAAACTTGATTTATTTGTTTAAAAGAAATCAAATTTATAACAATAAATTAAATTGTTTTTTCATTATGGTATTATGCTATTGCACAAATGTAATAAGTCAGTTTTTTCTCGAGCTGATAGTTCATAGCATATACGAGTTCAAAACATGCGTTATTGGAACCCAGCAAATATCTTCTTTATGTGTCCAAGTAAAAGTGTTTCAGGAAATAGACTTCTTCATGAACTTGATAAGAACATTTTGATTTTCTTCAGATAATTCAACAATATTGCCTAAAAACCATTATGCATCATAAACACATGCTATATTAATTCCTGGTGAAAGGGAACTATATGGTGTATTTTAGAAACATTTACATTAGTATACATAGATTTTTAAATGACAACCATCTCATCTGTAAAGTAGTTAATAACTGTGGTATAAAACATTGGTGGTTTCTTGGAATTGGTGGTTTCTTGGAATTGTTGAACAAGTAGCACAACGTTCTTCTAATTTAAACTTAATACAATTGCATCATTTAAAACGTATTGAAAATGTATTCCTTTGATATTTTTTCTACACTAATCTTTTCTCAGGTGAGTTGATAGGGTATGTCAGTGATCATAAACTGGCCCAAGCTATAATAATTTGCTTGTCTTTTATGTCACAGCAAGTATTTTGACAGAACCCTCAACGCCATCACAAGTCTTCTTTCTATGAAATGTAGCAAAAAAATGCCATTCTGCAGATAATTTATGATCTAGTTAATGGTGATATAAGTTAGATATGCTTTTATAATTTTTGTATTGTGAACCTGCACCATTACTAAAATAAATGCAATCAGTAAAGTAAGGCATCAACTCTTTTAAATGTTTTATTACTTCATAAATGAAACAATGAACTGAGTTTGTGTTGCTTTTTTGCAAATGATCTGAAATAATACTAACACTTTTACATTTTATCATATTTTCTTCCATATAGTAAATAACAAAAAGAGATGCAATTTTGTTTGATTCTTGTTCCAATGGTTCCCTTGTACTGCATCTT